AATTCCACCCCCCCCCCCCGGCAGTACATCCCTGCACTCCCCCCCAAAATGCCATTCAGCTCAAGTTTGTGGCTTACACAGCTCTGATGCTCAGTGATTGGCCGGGCTCTGTCACATGGAGTGAGTTACACCCTATTCCCTATCTGGAAGCATCGGGTATTTTCTGAATGGAGCAGCATGGGAGTGAAGGAAAGGTAAGTCGGAATTAAAGCAAACCTTCATGTTAAAGGAGAACTATGGGGTCAGTGTTTTTCCCCATAGTTCTCCTTAGGGTAACGGGAGGACACAAACTAGCGTCCTCTCCTCACCCTAAGCTCAGTATATAGGGAGCTACAGCTCGCTGAGAGCCGTGACAGGATCGAGAGGTGAGTGAACGCCGGGATGTATTCGCTCACCTCCCGATCTACTGAGCCGACCTGTGACAGTCTCATTGTCACAGGTCGGCTAGAACTATGAGGTGAGTGGAAATCACTCATCTCATAGTTCTCCTTTAAAGGGTCCGTTCACACCAGGCTCCAGCTGTGCATCCTGCACAGGCTTTTTTCTTTTAACTTTATTGAAAGTTAAAAAAAAAAAAAAGCTTTAATCTAGCTTTAAGCACCGCATTGGAAGGTGACATGCATTGCACGGCGTACAAATTCATGCAGCGCACACCTCCGTGCATTCCTGGTGTGAACAGGGTACATAGAGATCAATTGTATCTGCTCTTGTGTTGATGATCACCAGACCCGTTGTGAACTAACCCTTTTGGTATAGCTGTAAAAAAATTTATCAAAGCAACCGGACTTGCTGTAAGATGTTTCGCTGGTCATCCGACTAACTTTCTGAATTGAGAAAGCTGGTTGGACGACCAGCAAAAGGTCTTCACGAAAAATACAGCAAATCCAGTTGCCTTGATTTGTTTTTTTTTACAGATATACCATGTGACCTGGAGGAATGAGAACCTTCACAGACAGAACGCTTTGGTGGACTTCTATAGAGCTCATGTCATGTATGAGTGTCTTTGCTACCTGTTAGCAACCAATCAGATTTAAGCTTCCAGCGCAGGACTGAATCTGATTGGTCTATTGTTTGCACATGGCAACCTTTCTAAGTGGCTGATCAATTTTCATTTTGTGAACAATGTATACACTGAGTGGCCAGATTATTATGACCACCTGACGTTTGTAGGCAAATGAGCTATAATTTGGCGCTGAAGTTGCTAGAGGGCCAGACCATTATAAATAGGGAAGCGGGTTGGTTACCACGACAGTAGAAGTGATTTGTTTCTGAAGATTCGGGGAAACAAAGCGATTTAACAGCCTTTGATGATTGTTGACGCTCGGAGCCATGGAGCGAGTATCAGCAAAATGGGATCCGCCCAGCTGCGTGAGTGACAGCTGGCTCTGCCTATCTAGAGGCAGAGCCAGCTGTACCCGCCCCCTCCCCCGTCCGTTCTGCCAGTCATCGCTGGAGGATCGGAGAGGGGAATCCAGCCACTCCCCTGTCACGGCAGAGAGCTGTGACAGGATCGAGAGGTGAGCGAATGCCGGTATGTGTTCTCTCACCTCTTGATCTACTAAGCCGACCTGTGACAGTCTCGTTGCCACAGGTCGGCTAGAACTATGAGGTGAGTGAAAA